TTTGAGGCTTGTGGAGGCAGGGCCTCTTACCATACATGTATTTTCATAAGGTTAGCTTTTCAACCCAGGTGGATTACTTTGTATACATGTAGACTCAGATCTCATCATATAAGTGAACTGATTTTTATTGAATTGTGGAATAAGTGTGGCGGAGTTTAATAAAGCTCGGCGAAGGTTGTCGAGGCAACAGGCAAATCTGTTTCCAGTTTTCCTTCCTTCCTCTGTACGGCCAACACCGCCATCCATCAATGTGTTGGCCAATTTTCTGGAACAAAGGAAATTACACAACACCGCACAATGTGGGCTTTCTTTACTGGGCAGCAGGGCTGGCTGCAATACACGGGCGTCAATGGAGGTTGCCTGTTAGATTAGACAAGCCATCAGACAGTCATTTGTTTTGGTTGTACATGTCCAGCAAGTGAAGATATGAATTTGTTCAGAATTTTGAAACAGAAAATCATGAAAAATTGCCTGCCAGCACGTCCTGCATCCAAACTCCAACCGGCATGAGTGGTTAAGATGACTGCAGCTGACCTTTCAGTTTTTGAAATGTTTAGCCAGTCCTTGTCTAGAATAATATAAATACTACTCCATTATACCTTTATTCCTCTTCAGTAATATCTCATCTGTACTTACCAAAAAATATGGCAGACCAAATGGGGAAAAATCCAACTTAATAGCATCAATGGGAGAATCTGAAATCAGCAAAAGAGACAAAGTGAGCTTTTTTATGGAAAATATAATGTTCCCCTTTACACATTTACATTCAGAAATACACATGATTCCTTTATGCATGTGCTTATTTTTTCTAGTTGGAGTATTGATGCAGAAAAAAAAGAACTACTATTTCAAGTTTAGTTCTATGCTGCGCTGTAGTCAAGTACATTCCTAATATCCTTTTTTTCTGCAAGTTCTGACAATCGTTTGGTGTGGATATATCCACATAATTCAGACAATCAGAATTCTAGGATTTTAAGATAATGATTGTTGAAAACTATTGGCTGAGTAAACTTCAAGTACTTTTGCCAAAAATTAAATTTAAAAACATTTTCAAATGTACCCAAAGTCTTTCATATGACACTAAGTTGACTTGCTACTTATTTTCAATGTTTCCTTCACTGTGCTCACAATAAACGGTTCAATATTGAGCTGATATTGAAATCACATGACCAATGTTCATGTCACAATGGTGTCTGAATAATAAGACCTATGGACACTACAGAAGTATAACACATATACTTTAAAAAATGTACTTTTTGTGATGTCACATGACACCTGATTTCTTTGAAGACAACCTCTGGTTAGCTCTCTACATTTTTTACTGAGTCTAAAATTTACCAGAATTAGTAAACTACCAAAGTTAATAGGTTAGTTAAATGGACCTCGGGGAGGAGTCTGAAGAAGATCTGAATTTGCTCCACTCAGTCGTTAAATGTACAAGGTGCAGTCCGTCTGCCCCTCATTATACCATACATGTATACCTCCATGGTTATATCTATTCAGTTCTGAATTCAATACTGGAAGCTGTTTGTAGATGAAACTTGCAAACTTTCAAAATTTGCTTTATCACCAGAGTAAATGCAAATAAAGGTACATTTGCTGGAAGTAAAACCACAGCTTCCTAGCCAGAGAAAAAACATAAAGAAGCTATGTATATTGCCAAAGTATATTTATTTCAAGTTTGAAGTTTCAAAAGGCTCTGAATAAGGAGTGAGTGGTTAAATGTGGAGTCTTTTGCCTGTGGCTCTTCTGTCACCAAAACGACAGGTGTCCTGCATGGCTAAAACTGCAAGGGGGGTGTATACAAATACTGATAATTTCATTCTGGGAAGATTTTGGGGCAGTTTTTCAGGAGCCTCACTTCCATATTCCGCTGCAACACTCTACCACAGTCTGTCCTCAACATTCCCCAGCTGAGATTTGAGATGACTCCTTACACATAATAGACAAAGTCCAATTAAAATACAATTCACTAAATAAGTGGGAAATCAATCCCTCATTATATTCTTTCCCAGAAATATGTGGTTTGGGTCTACCAGAAAATACCTATCAAAATAAACTACATTTTGCATATTTCCCTAATGTAATTATGCCATTCACTGAATCTCAATCAACTGCTTGTGTGTCCTCATCCATTTGTATCACACTGCACTGCAGCATTGGCTGCCATGTTCATCCTTTTTCGAAAACACTCCGGTATCACAGCCAAAAGTGGGGAAGATGGGAGGGAAACAGATCAATTGAGTAAGTATTCTCTAGTAGACCTGAACCAGACGCTTGTGGGGAAAGGGTCTATTGCATTCAACCTACCCAAATGACTTACACTTTGCAGAGAACCGTAACCTGGGGGAGGGATTTTGGCAAGGATGTACTATTCCTTACAACAAAAGATAAACATGTGTACCTTCATTTGAGATTAAGATAAAGAGCGCTAATAAAGTAATATTAAGTGTATGAGTGGTTGTCATGATGATACCCACCAAAATATAATGCCCAAATGAGTTGTTGGCTATTCCTCTTGGAGATGAGCTTCTTGACCTCTGCCATGTGGATGTAAAGATTGCCTTCTCATGGGCATACTCTTCTTGTAAGACATCCCTGAGATACCAGGATGTACATGTAGAGGGTGATTTCAAGCAGGCCGCTTTGTAAATGTCCAGTAGATACACCCATAAAAACTATGCCCATGATGAGGAAACTTCGATGAAGTCATGTGCTCTGATGTGACATCAGCTCTGATCATCTGTAGGATTCAGCTAGTCTATGTTCAGATGTCTAGTGGGAGGTCTTTCAACAAAACACTCCCTTTAGGGAATGTTTCAAAGCTGTATCATCAAAGACCGAGGAGCCATTGGAAAAGTTGCAATGCATTGTAGCCAGATTGTAGCCACCAGGGGACCCGAGTTAAAAATATGAAGAAATCAGCTATGGCCGTCACAGATGCCTTGGTTGGATCAAGAGTCCATTCTTCACACTAAGAACTGAATTGTCAGAAACGGCTGTCGTATATTTTTCGTGGAGACAATCATTGGCCCTTTGTGGCTAAAGCGGAAGCCCCAGGAAAAAGTCCTTACACTCCAAAGGATTGCTGCACAATGGCCAGCAGGTCAGATGGAGGCATGTTAATTGGGTCTGCAGACCGATGTTCGACCTTGGATTATGTCTGGCTGTTGGCCAGTTGTCATGGGAACCATGGTTGCTGTGGTCAAAAGGGGGTGATGGGTAGTACTGGGCATTGCTTTTGTTTGATTTTGGACAAATGTTGGAGAGAACCTAGAGAAATGGTGATATCGGAGGAAAGGTGTACGCCGACATACCCTCCCACCCTTATCTGCAGGGCATCCATGGCCCTCGCCTGAGGATGGGGTAGTAGAACACTTGTAATTGTGCACTGAGTTCCAATGCAAAAGGGTCTATATGTGGTCTGTCCATCGTGGTGAAATCTGTGTTCATCACTATGGGGTTTAAAGTCCACTTGGTTTGTTGGACAAGTCCCTGTGAAAATGTGTCTGCTAAAGTATTGTCAGTGCCTGCAATGTGTGTGACCTTTAAAACAACTGTCTGCTCTATTGTCCAGTTGAGTAGTTGCCATGTCAATAGGCAAAACTGTGGAGACTGTGTGCCAACTTGGTGATTACTGTACCCAACTACAGCTGTGTTGTCCAATAAGAGCATCACATATTTGCCCTCTACAGTCACCTTATATTGATATATGGCCTCGAAGATCACCTGTAGTTTGAGAACATTGATATGTGTTTTTCGATATGTGTTGTTCAATTACAAGTATACCCAAGAGACAAATATTAATTAACATTTTGTGAAAAAAGTTTTGATTCAAATGCAATCACGCAACATGCACGACGCATGGAATGGGCGAGAAAGACCCCAGCTGAGGTTCAATGCATTGGTAGTAATTGTAACCTCGTGTTTTGGTCTTTAGAAGGGGAGACCCACATCGAGATGACGTCTGTCGAGTCAACAAGTAAAGGTGTGGATGAATGGTTGAGGGAACAGGCACCTCAAGATCAGTGAAGACTTGACCAGGCTTTGAAGTAGGAGAGGAGGTGTGGTAATAGTGGTGTCATGAGTAAGCAGGATCAAGGCACTAAGTTTATCAGACTGGCCATCAGTCCAAGGAGGTGAAACCAGGCTTGGCCAATTGTTTGATGATGAGTCACAAACAGGGTGAAGCATTGCCGTAGATTGGAAATACATTGGTTTGTCAGCATGGCTATGCCCCTGCGGAGGTTGAGTACTGCTCCCAGGTAGGTTGGTGTTGAGAGGGGAGGGGTCTCAACCTCTCATGATTGATGTAAAACCCAAGTCAAGTGGCATGATTGTGAGTTGCATGGCAACTTTGGCTTTGCTGAGGGTATGTCCCACGATCAGCCAGTCATCCAGGAATTGAAAGAGTAGAACATGTAAATGGTGCTGATGGGCTGCCATGGCTTTGGTCACCCATGTGAAGACTCTGGATGAGGTGGAGAGGCCAAAATTGAGAGTGTGAAATTTATGGGTCTGATCATTGCACATGAACCGTAGGAATTTCAAGTTCTACGGGAGTATTGGGATATGAAGATAGGTGTCTTTTAGGTCTATTGATGGTGCCAATGCTGGAATGGCGTGAGATTGTATAGCAGTGTGAAGTGTCTCCATAGGAACCACTTTGACTGTCTGACCTTGTTCAGATGCCTGAGATTGATGATCAGTCTCCATTTTTCTTTGGCGTGAGGAAAAAAGTAAACAGGAAACCAGTATTCCTCTTGCTGTGGGCAACTGGTATGATCTCCTTCTACTGAAGTAGAATCTCTATCTCTGCCTCCAAGATTTGTTGTCTGGACTTGCATGATGAATTGGAATTGGTTTCAGGAAAGTGTTGGATGGAGGGGTGCTCGTTAACTCGCGCCTGTATCCTTCTATATGAGTTGTAAGCAGCCCCCTCCTGAGTTGGTTGATGCCTCACCATGGGTGGTTAAGGCCTAATGTTGTGGGGAAATTGAAGTCGGCCCATCCTTGTCTTGGTTTGCTTATAGGGGCCCTGAAATCCAAGAAGGGTTGGCTCACACATGGCATGTTTCAGGGGAATATTGCGGCAGTCTTGGCAGCTCAAATTCCTGTCTTGGCATAGGAGCTTAAAGGAAGTTAGGTTTCTGTGTTGTATCAATCCCCTTTGCTTCAGCCTCCAGTCGTTTGAGGAATTGGCCAGGAAAAAATGTCTTTCAGAACAATGGTAGATTCTTTACTTTCTGGTTCACTCCTTCATGCAGTATCTGTATGGTGTAAATGACATTAAACCTATGAGAAGAAGTGGTGAGGAGAGTATGTGAGTGAACGCTAGAGAATGGTGGGATCATGTCGTCCATACATCTGAGTGCCATCACAGCAAAGTCTTGTGAGACAGAGGAGCCCTCCTCACATGCCAGAAACTCTGCGAGTAGAAACATAAAGGTACAACAGTTGGTGCAAAAGTGGGCCACTTTATCCAGGTCTTTCAATGTGTTTTCCAAGGTATTTCCGTATGTCAGCTTTGGCCACATCCAGACTTTCCGGAACAACTAATTAATTCTCAAAATTGTCTTGATGGAAATAGAAGTAGCCAAGAGCTCTCGCAGAATAAGGTCACCATCTCTTAGCCTTGCCAGTCTTTTGATAGCATTGATGCAGGAGCGGTCAAGGGGAATCTTCAGAAAAATCG